CCCTAATGCCCAAAACAATCAAAGAAACAGCGGTGCCAATTAAGATATCTAAAAAGACAGCCAGAGAGATAAAAGCTTGGTAACAAAGAAAAATATAGGCTAGCACAAAATAATTCCTTCTCATAATTATGGCATATCTAGGTGGCCAAATTACCAAGGACAGTGAAATTTAGGATTAAAGAGAATGGATGCAAGAAAAGTGAAAGATGTTTCACCACCACAAAACTTGAGTTCAGAGATATATGGAGTCTACTGTTACACCGACTTATCGAAACATACACAACAATGTCTGTCAGTATGCTAGAGGATGCAGTTATGTCCAGCACTCCTGTAATGTCCCTCTTGAATGACTTACTGCTTTCCCAGAGCTGCAACATCAAAGCTCACTGCAAACTCAAACTGAAGATTCTGCAGTATTTGGTGGACTTAAAGGATCTCTCTTTTCTACCTAGACACCTACCCTGATGAAGTTCATAGAAGTTGTTTTCAAAAATGCAACGTAGTATAAAATGCGTAGAAGCTGGTTAACAAGTTTGAAAGTTATGAAAGGAAAGCAGCTGTGCACATACGACCTGATGATATAAACCTTGCATCCATCACAAATCCAGCTAAAAATGCAAATCAGTAAATTTCAGATATCAGAAATTCCATTTAAAACAAAAAACATGATGGCAAACACCAGGAAAACAGTAATGTAAGAACTGGCACAGTAAATCAGATTACTGAACCCAAGCTCAGAAGTTAGCAACTTTAAAATTTTAATGTCAAGCCTTAAAACACAAGTTAGAAAATAAATTCCAGCTTCTCTTAATTTCATTATGAATTTACCTCAGCACCAAACAATCTTCAAAGACAAGCCTTCAAAATAGTAAAGGAATATTCTATTGACAAAAATAAAAGGTGCGAACTAAATTCAAATGTACCGTCGCAGCTAATTTTTAAATAATTCATACAGAACCCAGAAAAATTTGGAATCTGAATGCCAATTATATTATCTGTATGTGGAATGTAATTTCTTGCTCCTACAGAGCTTGCCCTTTTTTGAATTCTAATGAAAACCAAATTACATGCAGCAGAGTATATCCTAGAAATTCACACCTCTACTGAATAACTGTTTAATCTACTGCTTAATTCAGACATTGTCCAGATATCATCCAATAATCCGGGAAGTGAAACTGAGCAAGCTGCAATGCCCCTAGACTTGTGCACTGGATGGTATCATCCATCTGTGGATGCTTAGTCCAGTTTAAGGATTTCCTGTATGTTGTTGAAAATAAAATACTTTTTAACCATCTACAACCAAAAGACAGCTCTGCGAGTATTTGCCTCCATTTCTAATTAAGCGTCTTTCACAATGTAGCCCATAAAAATAGCTGAACTAAAAAAAAACAAAAAAGAAAAAAATCAAAGTTTGAAAAAGACAGACCATTTACTTGTCAAATATACCCAAAACCACAGAAATTTTATTAAAAGGAACACTAGAAAATATTGCTATGCAACTCACAAACTCTCTTGTGCAGACGCCCAAAAGCAAAATTGATTGCTAAATACCACATAATGCAATAGTTAGAAAAGAAGAAATGCCAACAATTTTTATTTAAATTCCTTTAGAATAACGTTTTTCCTTGCGTTACTAGCAGCATAATTTTTGTATACCACACAAAGCTACACTCAAGAGAGTTCAAGGCCACGAAAAGCCAAAGAATTGCCTGCTGTGGCCGTTCTTGTGTCCGCACAGAGAAATCCTACCCACCAAGAAGATAAACAAAACACCAGCGGAGTCAGACTGCCCATTTCACCACGGCGAGAAGAGTTCAGGGTCTTTTTGTTTCCCAAACCTCACGTTTCTCTACGGATGCCGTAACAAATTTCATCGGCTCGTTTCGCTGGCAGCCAGTAACGAACCAAGCGTTTCGTTTGTCCAGGTACCTATGTCAATGCCTCGCCGAAGCACTTGCTTGTCCGCGTCCTGGTGACCGATGAGATCCTCCACCCAGTGGATGTAGTTCAGCCTCAGGGGAACGGTGGGAATCAGCCTTTCCACGGGGATGTCGATCGTAAGCCCAAAATCCTCCTTCAGGAGGGTACAGGTCAGGGCTCTCACCGCCTCGGGGTCCTTGAAATTCAGGCTGAAAGGCACAAGCAGCGGTTACGGCCGCCAGCGGCCCCTCGCTCGTCCCGGCC